TAGGGGGTGCAGCCGTTGAGGGGGGCAGGGAGGGAGCGGGCAGCCGTTACGGGGAGCTGCTGTTGGAGAGGGGACAGGTAGAGAGGGCAGCTGTTGGGAGGGACTGGGAGAGAGCAGGGAGCCATTGAGGGGCAACTGTTGGGGGGGCAGGGAGGGAGTGAGGGGGGGCACTGTCAAGGGGGAGCTGTTGGGGTGCAAGGAGAGAGCAGGCAACTGTTGAGGGGGAGCACTTGGAGGGATGAAGGAGCACCTGTACAGCACTGAACACTGCCAGCCTTCTTTGGAGGGGCTCTGTCTGTGGCTTCTCCCACCTCACTATGCTGGAAAAGCGCAGGAGGAAAAGCCTACCCTGGGCAAGGGAGGAGACAGCACGGAAGCAGGCAGGGCAGCGCAGAGCTGAGGAAGCGTCTGCCACCCACCCCTAGCTGGCAAAATCCCTCTCCCAGCTCCCAGGGCTCTCAGAACTGCTCTTGATCGGACAGGCCCTCAGCCTGAAGGAAGTTGTGTGACTACATGAGCCTTTTTGGCCTGGAGGAATTACCGCCACCACAAGAATAACCCTGTCCATGTTGAGTGACCCACGGGGATGCTGTCAAGACTTCTGTGGAGTCAGGCCTAACCAGGTGGCTGTAAATGTTTTTTTGTTTGTTGACCCCCAAAAAGTTTCTAAGGGAAGAGGGAATACACGTAGAGTGAATTTAAACCTACTAACATAATGCCTTTCTGTTACTTTCCTTTCATGGATCCTTTGTAAATGGAGGTTTATTCACTGCCCACCACCAAACATCTGAAAACAGTGCTGAGCAGGGGGTGCAGGCTACATGCCACCGTTGTTTGGTTTTTTTTTTTTTTTTTTAGCTCCTGGCAGAGCAGACTTCCAGGTTAGTGGAACTTCTGTTAAATAGCACCAACCATCAATCATATACTGATTTTTTTAGTATCAAAATCTAGTGCCTTAGTACTGTAAGCAAATCTGTCAGGTAGATCTAAGGCTGAAGGGTGTACTGTCATTCAGCTGAGCGATCCTAACTGACCAGTACCATGTTTGGCCAGTCACAAATGTCGGATGAAATATTTGAATTTATTGAATTTCTTCTGAGGCTTAAACCTCCAGTTTGCTAAGAGTGAGGAGCATCTCAGCTTAGCAGCCAGTATAGCTCACCTGATGTGTGTTAGGCCAGGAATTCAACCATGCAACAGGGGAGTGCTGGTGGATGACTTTTGTTGTGCTAAGACTCTGCAAGGTAGCATATCTTCACCAAAGGATTATTCCTCTGAGAGATGAATGAGACTAGCAAAAATCGTAACTGAAAAGAAGGATAAAACAAATAACTTAATTAAATGGTGAGACTCATTTCTCTTATATTGAAGCAACAAACTCACATCCAAGGCAAAACTGAGGCCAAAATAAACAAGGTCAAATGATAAACAATCTGGGATAAAATCTGGTATATACAATAATATTATTAATAATTAATATTATTAATAATAATTAATTAATAATATAACCTGGGATAAACAATCACTGGGACAAAGAGACAGGGTTATTTTTTTTTACCAGACATGTCATAAAAGAAGACTATGCTGCTGAACACATCTAATCTATCAACATGGTAGCTGATTTCATCCCTGGAGAGGGAATAGATTCAGATGTTATACTTTGTGCCAAGATCTGAGTTGGAATAGAGATGTTATTTAAAATTAGTGCTGAGACTGTGAAAGGCAGCTTGGAAACACAAAGGATTTTCTCCATCTCTTAATAAGAGAACTGAAATCTCATACAGGGGATATATTCATATGTATGGTGAGAGTCATTTCCTTTATTTGGATTGTCACATCACTCTGTGATGCAGTTCTAGAAATGGATTCCCCCATTCTCTCCCCAACCCATTTTTTCATGACTCAGCATTTCTGAGTAAAATATGTTTTTCCTTATTAAAAAAGCTACTTCTTGCACTCTCAGGACCCAATGTTCAGCTCTTCTGTGGAAGCAAGTACACTGAAGTGAGAGTGAAGAGAGAACTGGGTCCCAAAGCCCTGTGAGAAGGAAATTTAAATAGACTTTAAATATGTAAAGTGTTTCAAAATGAGATTCATTTGAAAGAAAAGGTGCCATGTCACAGCTAGTCACAGGTATGCTCACAGGCAAGACCTGTATGAACAAGTACCGGAAAATCAAACAAGGTGGAAAAGTTCCAAAACTGAAGGAGACTTAACTGGTGGATTTATTTTAAAAGGACACATTGTTGACTACTTCAGGGCTCAGCTTTCCTAGTAAAAGTCTAAGCAGCTTCCACAATGATCTAGCTTTTTTTTTTTTTTTCTTCTCTCCTTTTGGTTCCCTTCTCAGGTAAATTCAAAACATAACTTTGTCTTTCTTATAACTCACCACTGTAACAGAAGCGTTACTTCCACTGAAACCCACAACAGCATCAAGCTGTAAGTCCATAATGGTAGAATTACCTTCTCAGAACACCCTGGATACATGAATTGCTTTAAAGCATGGAAACACTCACCTGAAAAGGTTTACAGCCAGTAGGTAAACTAGGCAGACTATATGGACTCAGGTGCCAGCAGTTTGCTGTGATTCCTGCAGAACACAGGGCTGCGCTATTACCATCAAGATACTTTAATACCTGAACAAGATCAGCTCACAGATGAAGTGCATGTGCTTAAAGCTCCACCTGAGCAAGTAAACACTTATGTTGCTGAGCTGAGGGAGACATTGTGAAATTTTTCTAGCTGTGTCCCAGTCTCTCTTACTGGGAAGCTGTATCAGAGGTAAGGCTTCCTAGTTGCATACTTAGCTAAGCTGTTATATCTGAGTCTCACCATAGTGAAGTTATGTATGTTTAAGCTTTTTGAAATGTCATAGAGGTTAGGAGCTGCCTCTGGTTTTGCATTCACTAGGTTTCCTCTGGTAGTATAGATCCCTTCCTAAGGTGAGAAATGATAGGCACCAAAACTTTTTTTAGCCTTATAATTAATATTGCTTCTCCTCAGCAACAAAGTTTTGTTTCTGAGAATTAAACTATTCCTCCAACAATATGTGAAAACAGACAGACATGCAAGATTTGCAGAGATTTCTAAAATAATTGCTCTTCACTTTAAGTGGTTTGCACAAATGTAGAAAATAATACTGAAATATTTGTCAAAGCTTCCTGCTTTATTTTCTGTCAGTTTCTGAGATAAGTACTGGAAATGGGTCAGGATCTTTTCATTCTCTTTGGCATCATACATTTGGTACTGAAACAGAAAGAAAGGAGGAAAAATTCAAAATAGCAGGTGAGAGGCACTTCCTTTGAAATCTTTCCGCTCCTGTCAGATGAATTCTTTATTGGCCTATTAAGCCATGCTATCCAAACCCCTTCCTGGTTAACCCATTATTTCTTTATAACTCAAAAGGTCTAATTTAAAAGCTAATTTGCCTTGGACAGTAGCTGGTGATTGTCCTATGCACACTCCAGTTCTCGTAGAGAGTCATCAAGGTTTAGCCAGCTTCCGCTGTTGGCTTTATCCAACATATGGCTATGTTTGCCATTATCTCCTGTAATTTTAATCTACCAGGAACATAAAAAGATGGTATACTTAAAAAGTGAAAAAATAAATATCATGTGTTCAAGATGGAGTCATCATTCTGAAACAGAATATATATTGAGCTATAACGAAGCAGAGAATATAAGTTGTTTAAAAACCCCTAAGTAGCCAAAATATATATGCAAAGCCAATCAGTTTGAACTAAAGCAGCCTCTTGAGTTCAATGATGATGCTAAAATTCCCACATTGCAGCATCTGTGAGTAGTGCTTTCAGTCATCTCTGCTAGACCGCTTTGTTCTGGTGAATGAGACCTGGCCTCAATTCATCATGTATTTCTTCAGCACTTAGCTGGACGCAGCAATGTCCTGCAAAATTCAAAACAGTATGGTGTCTCCTGCAGTTACATAGGCCACATCCCAATCCTACCTTTCACTTGCTTCCTATAGAATTGCAAATCTAATATTAGGTCTCATATTACCTCTGAAGTGCTTAAAACTTGGGACTATGTTAAAAGACTGAAGTTCCAATGTGGATTGGGCAAAGATGCCAGAACTGTAGCAGGAGAAGATTTCAATAGTGGAGAACGAATAATTAATAGGAAAAATAGGTTTAGGAGATTTTCGTAAGAGAACTATGAGGCTGCAGACATGGCTAATGAGGAGCATAATTAATGGGAGAAAGGGGGCTTTGGAGAAAGGTAGAGGCAAGTGAAAGAAGAAGGGAAAAAGACAAAATAAGTGGTCGTGAAGCCTTAAATAGGGTATTACTGAAGATCAGCACCCATCTGAACAATCTTAATGGTGGTGTGAATGACCCTGTATTTCTATGTGAGAGCTGACTTTTGTGCCTGAGATACACGATAGTGGAAATAATTTGACGGGTTAGGTTGGTCACTCCAAAGTGGGGAAAAGAGCAGCATATGCTATCCTGAATGGTTGGAAGGGAGTTTACCAGCTCCAGATTGTCTTTTCCTATGATTTCTCTTCTGGGATCATATAGTTTTTCCTCACGCTAATAGCTGATAGATACTGTTAGGAATGTACTTTATCTCCTTTTCCATGAAGTAAGCTTGCCAAATAATTTAGGAAATAAATGTAGGTATAAACACTCATGTTAGGCATTCCAATGATAACTTTAGCTCCGATGTCTTTTGCTTTATTTTCATATATGATTCCTCAATTTTTAATCTAATCTCTATGACATAGTGTAGGATATCACTTGTATAAAGATACTGAAAGAAACAAGCAGAAAAGGGTGTGTATATCATCTCTGGAAGTAGTAGCCTAGCCTCCCCTCCCCTCTGTTTGACTAGGCAATGCCAGGCCTCTCCTCATCCTTTTCTTTTAGGATGACAGATATTGACAGATAGCAAGGAGTGTTTCACAGCAAGCCTCTCAGTTACACTGAAAATGGTGGGGTGTAAATTCTGTGTAAGCTTGCTACAAGGCAGCCACTCTCAAGGGCGAGCTACCCAGAGCACTGTGAGAAGTTGCCAGCCTACTAAATTGCATGGGCCCTGCAGCTGCTTCATGCAAAAAAAAAACAAAAAAAACAAAAAAAAAACTGCTCAGAAAGCATTGCCCAGGCTGGTTCTATCTATCAGTCCAGGTCTAGAGGCTGAGCTACCAAACAGTGGTGTACAGCAGGACTGATGTACATGTATATGTATTCTCACAATTTATATGGTTATATTTATGGAAATTATTTAAGGGACTATGAGTGGTATGTAGTAGTGTAACAATGTAAACGTCATGTACGTTAGCAAAGCTTAATCACTTCAGCAAGTAGAGTCACAATTATGAAATGTGATTTCTGGTGAGAAGACTGTCTGTTCTTCAGAATCTAGACTTAGTGCAGACTGTGATTCATCCCTTCTTTTATCACTCAGCTGCCTAACACCTTGGCCGGCCACTGAAGACAAAGGGATATTTTTTTGCCATTTGACTTCAGTGAAAGCAGGTTCTTAGCAGTCCACTGCATTCACTCCTTTGTTCCTCCCAACTACCCTCCCTGTGTTATGATTAATAACACACTATGTTCAGTGCTTCCTACGTGAGTGGGTCAGCTTTCTTGTCATAGTCTTTT